ATTAAATCCCAAAGTCCATTTAAAACACCACGTACACACACACACTCCTGTCTCCCCTTGCCAAACCAAGCCAGTCAGGGGTACCATAATAGAAGTCCGTAGCTCCGCTAGGCTCCCATTCTTAATCCAAAACCATGTCCTCATGGTGGGCCAGGGAATCCTTCTTCATCCTTTCACACTGCGTGGCCACGAGAGAAGAGCTGCTGCTGCATTCTGCTTTCCTGCTTTCAAAGCTGAGTGGTCAAGACAGCTCTTTCTCTGCTCCCAAAGTGAGTGGTTAAACCCCAGCATGACTGCCACGCCTGGGTTTAAATCCCGGCGGGGATCTTCCTCTGTAACCCCATTTCCGACTCCTCCCACAATGGGTTACACCTGCCCTAGCCTGTTTTTTTCTGCCTTTCTCTGCTGCCATTGTTAGTCGGGCCGGCCTGACCCGGTGATTCAGAGGCTGCCTCCAAGCCGCTCTCCTGCAGGCAGGCGCAGAAAGGCTCTCAGGCTACATTGCATCTCAAACTACATTGCCTCTCCAGTTAGAGTCATGCCCACCTCCCTGGCTCCCAGTGCATGCACAGCTGTAATATTATTAAACCGCTGGCCGAGTTCTTTAGATAAATATCCAAAGTCGCTCTCAGTGGCCCTGCTCCACTTCCCTCATTCCCCAAGTGATTGCTATGGGGGTTTTCTCTATTTTGGGGGACTTTCAGCTCAAGGCACCACTACAGTCTGTTACTTATTTGCTAGTTTGTACAAATCCAGGGTCTTTGACCCAGGGGTAGATAGGGGAAATAAACTCCCTCTCACCATTTTTTTTTAGACGGCTTCATGAGTCTGGGGAGGTTTTCATTAGTCCAGCTTCAGCTGCCCTGTCATTTGTGAGTCTAGGTGAATTCATAGGGAAGGTGATCCTGAAGAGTTTCTAGGATAGAAAATGGAAATTAGTTATAAGTACATGCTTATTGTTACTAAAACAAAACTTTGGAATATTCTGGAATCTGTAAGGAACTAATAGATTCACATTACTATGTTTAGTAATCCCACAGTGCTGAGAAAGCACATACTGAATTAATGAACAGGAAAATACTACATGTGTACAAGAAGCTTTGAAAAACCATAAACTTTTATTTCAGCACATTTATGATGCAATATTTCAGCTAGAATTTTGGAAGACTTTTTTTGTTTATTTTTACATTATGCATATGTTTTGTTTCAAGTTGGCATGTGGTCACTAATGTAAAGCTTTTAACTTTCCTTTTATACAAGGGCTGTGCAGTAACCGGGAACTAATAACAAAAAGCTTTAGTCCGAATCCATTCTTCTTCACTTTAATGAATGGTAATTCCATTCTTCCAGATGCTGACCCATTTAGTCAAGAAATCCCTTCAGCTCCTCTTTTGAACTACATCTTGGGTTCAGTTACTTGTAATCACATGAGCTATTCTTTAGGTCAGGACACCATCATCTCTTACCTGGACTACTGCACTAGCTGATCTTGTTTTCACCCTGGCTCATCCACAGCATCTTCTTCATTTGGTCACCAGAGTGATTCTTTATAAACAAGTCAGATCATGTCCCATCCTGCTCCTAGGTTTTTACTAAATGAAGTCCACTAAAACCCACAGACTTAAGGATCTTGTGTGATTTTGGCCCTTGGCTGGCCCTCTGACCTTATTTCTTTTTTATTCTCCTTCTTGCTTCTTGTGGTTCAGCTACATTAGCTTCCTTGATATTCCTCAAACATCCCAGGCATCATCTTACACCTGGGCTTTTGTTCTTGCTATAATTCTCTCTTTCTGTTCACTGTTCCACTGGATATCCACATTGTTCATTTTTTTCATCTCCCTTAAACCATTGCTCAGAGTCACCTTATTGAAAAGAGGCTTTCCCAGACCACATTACGTAAAATGGGACGAACTGTCCTCTGTGACAGTCTGTCCCCTCATCCTGGTTTACTTTTCTTTAGAGCACTTATTATCTGATGTATGGTATACTGTATTTCTTAGTCTCTCTCAGTAGAATGTAAGTTCCATGAAAGAAGGCTTTTGTTTGTTTTGTTGTTGTTCATTGCCATATCCTTAGCACCTAGAACAGTGCCTGGCTTTCAGTAGGTCCTCAATAAATATTTGTTGAATCTTGAGTGCGTCCTTTGAAAGGAATACTTTTTATAAAAAAGATGTCCACTAGATGGCATTACTTTCAAACTTTATGTAATTAATGTCTGGTAGCAAAAGATAGATTCTTTTGTGTTGCTCCAAACAAAACAGATCTTTGTGATGAAGATTGTCATGAGAAATTGCTATGATTGATGTGAGGCATATGGAATACTACACTTACATTTATTTTTTTAAAAAGATTTTATGTATTTTTTAGAAAAAGATTTTATTTATTTTTAGAGAGAAGGGAAGGGGGGGAGAGAGAGAGAGAGAGAGAAACATTAATGTGTGGTTGCCTCCTGCGCGCCCTCTACTGGGGACCTGGCCTGAAACCCAGGCATGTGCTCTGACTGGGAGTTGAACCTGTGACCGTTTGGTTCATAAACCAACACTCAATCTTCTGTGCCATACCAGCCAGGGCTATTTTTGTATATTTGTATATTTTTAGATTTCTAAAATTAAAAAGACATTTAAAGAAACTTATAGAAAGTTAGAGCATATTGGCCTGTTAATAACCATTTGATACAGTTATTTAGCCTGGTAACATGGTTACTGTTTTTTATCTCTGTGTACAGTTCCTAAGTTTGTAAGGTTATTGACCTTAAGTTTGTCTAAGCTCATTAAGTCACCACCTTAATCAACTTAAACTCACCATCATCCCACTTAAACCTTTTGGCAAAAACCATATACAATTTTATTTCCCCCTACCATTTCTAATGGTTATTAACATCAGTAAGGCTCTTTTAGCTTATTTCATTCCAAACCAGATAAATTATGTATTTTTAGGATAAAAAGAGAAAATACTCCCATTGCTTGGTAATGGAGTATCTGATGTATTTAATATCTAGAAGTAAGTTTTGTCATCAACAAGAACTGTGGATGCTACATTTCATGGTATTAGAGATACTGCCACTAACCCTGCTCTTCACCAAAGCACTAGGGAAGGAAGAAAGTATGATAGCTATGAGTAAAGTAAGTTCATGTCCATGTCATGGCCACCTTCCTTCTGAGGGATGTCACCGGAATGAGAGAGCAGTAATGAGATCCAGAGCCTTAAGCCCCTAGTTGAAATCCAGCCTAGTGTTGGTGGCAGAAAATTATTGTCTGTCAGCTGTTCAGCTGTTGCCAGTGAGTTAGGTACTCTCAATCTGCTTGCTAATCAGCTGGGCGTCCAAATTTGGAAAACCTTCTGTGTTTCTGATAGATGTTGTCATACCTATCCTTAAAAATCAGTGGGTTCCAAGTGCCAGGGCTTTTTAGCTGATTTCTCCGACTAAACTCAGCAAATAATTGCACTAATCAGAAAATTTACATATTTTCCCAGACCCCCAAGAACGCCTGTCCTGCCTTTGCCAGCGCCGTCTCTTTTCTTGCTCTCGTCACTTACCGCATTTCCATTTTCCCCAATTCCTGTGCCTTTCTCAAGAACTTCTCTTGAATGGTCATTGGTCATTTGATCCATCTGGTTCTCTTCACATGTCCTTACTCCTAAAATAACTTTTCTTCATCCTATTCAACCTAACGATGTTTCTTCTTTTCAGATTGCTTAAAATATGCTTATAAATGTTATTGACTAGATTTCTTTAATGTTTCCCTCTTCCTGTTTTAGATTTTTCTCTTCCATTTCTGATTATGGCATATCGAGGCACTTATTTTGTTGATCTATTTAAAGTTCTCAGCCTCTTCTTGGAATTTATTAACTATCTAGAAATGAAAACACTTGTTCTTTTGTGCTTTGTGTCTTTAAATGGAGCATAAAATGTAGGATGGTCTTTGTGTTCCCAGTCCTTTTCCCCAGTTTGCTCTTGGGTGCTTAAGTGTGGCGCTGATACAGTATTATTTTAAATAGACAGTTATACTTAAAGATTTACATTTTTACAATTTTAACCAGAAATATTGGAAGTTCCTAGTATTGCTCTCCATGTCTTGTGCTGTTAGTGACAAAAATTGTGTCTGTGTCAGCTTGTCATTGTCCTATGCTTACCCCAAGCATTAGATCTAGTTTTTGAGGTCAGAATTCAATGTTTAGAAAAATCACTTTTTTATTTACTAAGAAATATTGGACCACATTTATTTGCATAGAAAATACTTTTCTGTTTACCAAGGACCTACTGGATAGCATTTATTTGGTATGTATATTTTTGGTCTGAGACATGGAGACTTACTGATATTTGATTATTAGAGTGATAATATTCTACATTTGTTAAAATACATTTTCTCATGAAAATGCAAGCATTTTTCTTATTTTTTAATTACTTTTTTATAAAGGTCACACTACACTCTTTTTTAAAAGATTTTATTTATTTATTTTCAGAGAGAGGGGAAGGGACGAAGAAAGAGAGGGAAAGAAACATCAATGTGTGGTTGCCTCTCACCTGGTCCCCACTGGGGACCTGACCCATAACCCAGGCATGTGCCCTGACTGGGAATCAAACCGGTGACCCCTTGGTTCGCAGACCAGCGCTCAATCCACTGAGCTACACCAACCAGGAAGTGTTTTTCTTATTTACTGTATGTATATTATAGCTACTAGTCAAAATGTCATTTACAAAAAATATTTATTCCCAGAAACATATTTATTCTCAGAGGCATTGTTGCTTGTTCAACATTAGATGAGATCTAAAAGCCCTGGCTGGTCTCACGCTCTGTCTGCTAACCTCTCTCGGTGCGTCTGTTGCACGCTGGTGTATGAAGCCATTTTGCTTGTACCTGCTCTCTTGAAAAGGCTTTTTTTGTTCTGGTGGTCCTTGTGACTTAAGAGTTTCCTAAGTGAAATTCATTAGAGGTTCAGCCATGTGGCCTTAAATATCATTGGCTATTTTCACTTATGCTGTTTTTTTTCTTCCACAGACTGATTGAGATAGCAGAATCTCGTTTCCCCAGATATTTTAACAGTGAGGAAAAGTTACTTTTGACAAGCAGTAAAGTTTATCTTTATCGGGAACTCAGCTGTGATGAAGTTCTTCAAAGGTATGCCATTTTAGAGTTTGGTATTTTAGTAATACTTTGAAGATTTATTTTTTGTTGTTCATGATTTCAGTTTCTGAGTGAAAAAAAAAAGCCCCTACATATTAGGATTATAGGAAATAATTATTGCTGTGTTCTTTATTCACTATGGCTTGTTATTGAAGTATTTCTTTAAAAATGAAAAAAGAAAACGAAATGAATAAAATAGTTTATGCTAATTTAGAGGTGTATTTATTATTGTTTCATTAACAAATTATCCCAAGGTGTAGCAGCTTAAAATGGAAAACATATGTTGTCTCATATAGTTTTTGAGGGTTAGGTGTCTGGGAGTGGCTTGGCTAGGTATTTTTGGCTCAGGGTTGCTCAAAAACTTAAAGTCAAGCTGTTGGCCAGGGCTGTAGTTATCTCAAGGCCTGCTTGGGGCTGGAGATTCTTGGAAAATTCCAAGGTCACTCATGTAGTTGCTGGTTGGTCTCCCGTCTTCCCAGATGTTAGCCAGGGGCTTCAGTTCCGCACCTTGTAGGCCTCTCCGTGGGGCTGTTTATAACACAGCCACTTGCCTCCCCGACAGTGAATCATCTGAGAGAGACTGGATAAGTGAGAGAGGGTCCAAGGGGGACACTGTTGTCTTTCATAGAAATAAATGAGGGGCCCTCACGTACTCTCAGAAATGAGGGGTCCTCACTTTGTCATATGCTGTTGGTCACGAGACCCATCCTAGTATATTGTGAGGGAGAAACTCCTCAGGGTGTCAAGATGGAATGGGAGTCAATGGGGGCCATTTTGGAGACTGGCTACCACACATTTAGGAATTTTCCCCTAAAATTGGAGCTTTAGCAGTATCATAGGAGAACTAAGGAATGAAAACATTTTGGTTTATTTTCAAAAGAGTGCCATATGTATAGAAGAAATATATGAAAATAAGTTATGTTTATTGGGTAGTGGCAATCATTACTATAACTTAGGAAAGAATAATTTGTTGTTTTTAAGTTGGTCAACCTTTGCAAGGCCCTATTTTTATTATTACTTAAACTTTTCTACTATTTTACAAATTCCACTTTTACAGGATTGAATCCTTGGAAGAAGAAATTATTTCAAAAGGAGTTAAACTTGTGATTGTTGACTCGGTTGCATCTGTGGTGAGAAAGGAGTTTGACACACAACTTCAGGGCAACATGAGAGAAAGGAACAAGTTCTTGGCAAGAGAAGCAGCCTCCTTGAAATATTTGGCTGAGGAATTTTCAATCCCAGTAAGTTTTTCTTTTTCTCTCTTCTTTTCTTTACCTTTTATTTAAAAAAAATATTAAGTTCACTGACATGATATCAAGTAATTTATTTAGAAGGAAATGTAAAACCTTTCTAAAGAGCCTAGTCTAATTGCTGTAACAAGTATCATCATCTTATTACATTTGTTCATTTATTGAGATTATCTTTCCTTTTTACAGTTTGAGCCTGGAGTGGATTTGTTTATTTATTCATGTAATACTGTATGAGTTTCAAGCGTATAACATAGTGATCAGACAGTTACATGATGTACAAAGTGATCAGCCCATTACTGTTACTTGACTTTCAGTAGTGGGAGTTATGATCAGGAATGAAGATGAGGATATATTGCAAGAGTTTGTGGTGGGTAAGCTGCAAAATACAAGTGTTTACTGAGTTACATTCCCATTAGCAGTGTGTGGGAGAGTTCTACTTGTTCATCAGTTGTACCAACATTTAGTATTGTCAGGCTTTTCTGTTTTAGCCACATATCATCTCAACAGAAGATAAGAATTCCTTACACTGAGATAAAATTTAATTATGACTTTATAACTTCTAGATTTGTGTTTGGAAAATTAAAATCTTGGACCTTATAACATAAAGAATATGCATCAATAGTGTCAACTACCACACAGCCTTTGAGATTTATAAACTCAAGCAATAAGTCAATGGAGAAAATGTGGCATTAAAAGGGTTTTGCATATATTAGTGGCTTTTAAGTTCATATTTTAGATTATATGATGTAATTCCTGGTGAAGTCAAGTACAGTAAAGTTTATCATGGATGATGCTCATCTTTTAGATTTTATTGTAGTTGCTTAAAATGATAACTCAAATTCATGTTTTCTCTGGTCAAGGAGAATAAGGGAATTTAAAAATATTTTACATCACCCTGACGAGTGTTGTTCAGTTGGTTGGGTGTCTTCCCACAGAGTGAAAGGCTGCCAGGTCAGGCAGGGCACAAGCCTGGGTTGGGAGTTGGGTCCCTAGTCGGCGTGTGTGTGAGAGGCAACAGTCCATGCTTCTCTCACACGCTGATGCTTCGGTCCCTCCCTTTCTCCCTCTCTTCCCCTCTAAGAAATAAGTAAATAAATATTAAAAAATATTTTATATCAAAGGAGAATAAGGGAATTTAAAAAATATTTTATATAGTTACTTGACAAAAAAAGTATATATGCTTATTTTGTTAATTCATATGCATACACTGGCTCTGGAAGCTCATAAAGAAACTCTGCTGGTTGCATCTGGAAAAGGAAAGTAGGGGCCAGAAGGTGACTTAACTTTTGATGAAATAGGTCTCATCCAATTAGTCATCCTATCTTACAGATACTACCCAATACCTCTTCAATTTAAGCATGCTCTTCGTCTTTTAGCACTTCTGGTTGGCTCCATTTCAGTATATGTCCAGTACCTGATTACTCACTGCCACCTTCAGTGGGGTTCCTCTGGCTCCTGGTGGTCAAGAGTCCTGGCTTTGGAATTGGATGTCGGTTTGAAGCATAACCTCTCTGTTTGCCAATTTTATGAACTTGAGTAAGTTACTTTTCCTAGCTCCAACTCTTAGTTTTTTCATTTGAAACAGGGAATAATAATATCTGACTCACGGGGGTGTGACGGTTTAATGAGATAATGTCTGTAATGGTCTTTACATGATGTTTGACACATTCAGTAAAAGGTAGTCATTAATTATTAATTTTAGTGGTTACCTCATTCCAGATGCTTGGTATGTTTTATCTCTCTTTTCCTAATATTTATTTTCACAAGGTTTCAAGCTCCTCAAAAGGAAAAATCATGTCTTGCTCACTGTCATATCTTCTTTGGGCTGTTTTGTTGATGGATATTGTTACTGCCTGGATCCTCCTACACCTGGTTAACTCACCCGTTCTTTGGATCTCTGACTCTCCATTTTTAATCCCACCCTCAGCAGTTGTGCACAACACTCAGTGCTAGGCACTGTGCTATCATAAAGATGAATAAAACATAGTCTTTGCCCTTAAGGCTTCTATAAATAAGTTAATTGTAGGAGACAAATAAGTAAGTTAATTTAGCTCTCTGTAGTATAATGGAGAATGAAATAAGTACGTATCTTGTGTACTGTTCTTATTCTGTTTCTAACAGATATGTAAGTAATTTGGTACCCACTTCTTTGTCTTTTCTTGGGACTACAGATTACACAGAGAAATAAAGGCAGGTAGCATAGATCTCCATGGGTTCTAGTTAAACTCTTTATTATGTCTAACCTTGGCCCTTGCTGTCCATTCTTATTCAGGAAGAGAGTGCTTGTTTGGAGACAGATAGTGACTACACTGTTAAAGCACAAGCATAATTCCCATGTTATTGCTCAGAAAAAACTAGAAATGAAAGGAAGTTGTGGCTCTTAGTCTTTAGTGTTACTGAAACTGGAAAAGCCGGTATTCATGCTGCCTGTCACTTCCAGAACCGATAAATAGTGACAAGGATTGAATCTTTATGGGTGCTCTATTCAGATGCCAGTGATCTGAGAAGATGGTGAATTATGTACCCTCAAAAACCGTTTTAGGTAAGGATTTGGGTAAAAAGGTTAATCAGATAAGAGTTGCATTCGGCAGGGATTTTCCTAGTATTTCTTTATCTGCTGATCAACAGTTCTTTGTATCACAGAAGTTCCCTCCTTAGAACACAATTGCTCAGATATCATTGCCGACCCCCTGGGGCATGGAGTTGAATTGCTTATAGACCACCTGTGGTCACGCATTCTGGTTCCTAGAATAACACCTTTCCACCTGCTTTACTCACTTAAGCCTATCAACTCAAGCTACAACTAAAATCTTTAAATCTTGAGTTCCCTTGTACATTAATCACTTAAGCCCTATCACTGGATCATTAATGATTGATTTGAATTAATGATTGGGATTTGAAGTCCCTTTTAAGATCAGGAACCTTACTTAGCATCTCAGAGTTTTAGCATCATTTGTGTTGTTTTACTGGCAAAAGTAAGTAGTTATTGAAATTGTTCTATCTTATTCAAATAATCCACAGCGATTTATTTATTTATTTATTTATTTATTTATTTATTTATTTGAGAGGGGGAAGGGAGGGAGAAAGAGGAAGAGAAACATCCGTCGGCTGCTTCTTGTCCACACCCTGACTGGAAACTGAACCCACAACCTAGGCATGTGCCCTGACTGGGAATCAAACTGGTGACCTTTTTACTTTGCCAATGATGCCTAATCAGCTGAGCCACATGAGCCAGGGCTAATAATCTACCGTTTTAAAAGGCTGTTAATAAATAGCTGCGTCTTACAGAATACTTACTTTTGTTCCAGGTGTTCCAGTGAATGCATTTAAAACACTTTTTATTTAATCCTTTAAATAATTTTGCAAGTAGGTTATGTTATTCCTGTTTTATAGATGAAGACATTGAGGCTTATCAGGGTTAAATAACTTTCCCAGAATCACATGGCTACTAAGTGGAAGGGGTAGGGTTTGAACTCAGATCTGTTTCATTCTAGTGCACGTGTTCTTATTCACAATAGGACATTGCTTCCTAGTGTGGAAGTCAGAATTATTCTGCTCCCTTGCCCCTTATTGACTAAAAGCAATTCAATACTCAGAACTCTTTCTTTCAGTCTTTTTTCAGTGAAAAGTTTCACACTTTGCTTTATGCTTTGTTGCTTTTGCTTCTGTTAGTGGTACCAGTATTTCAACTAAGAGAAATACTTGAACACTTGCAGCTTTGTTTTCATTTTCACTTCTATGGAAATCATATGTGTATGTTAAGATTAAAATTAATGCCTTTTATCTGCCAGTCAATATGCTAAAGATATGTTGGGTATCTGTTTTCTAAAGCTGAAATAGTCAAACTTGTAGCTGAAGTCCTGTGATAAGTCTGCTGTCTTAGGAAAATAATTACTAAATATTTGTACTTTGGACCTCTTTTGGGGAACATCTGAAGTACAGACAACCTCCTAAGATTCTGCTTTGAGGTTTAATGAAGACTTAATATGTGTTGTGACTGGACTGGAGACATTCTAGTTTCATGCATTGCCAGATGTGTCCAGTAAAATCACTGCTCATGGACTTAATGAAAAGTCCCTAGGAGCTTACAACTTAAGGTAGTTTTTATAAGCATCATGGCTCAAAGGATCTTTGGTGCATGTATTCGAGGGAGGGGCAGTTCTGACATGAACTGGCAAGTGATGCTTGCAGTCGTGTGGACCGAAGTACACTCTTTTAAAGAAATAATGAAAATGTTATAATGTGAAAAATGGTTTTTTTGTTTCTAGCTTTAAGCTCCTAAAATTGGTTTCATTTCTGAGCCTGTATTATAATGAATCTTGTTTTATTGTTTTCTTTGTGATCTTTAGCTTAGTTTACTGCGTCGTCCAGTGATGGGATTGGCCTTCCTTACAACATTAGAAATGACAGTTTTGTGCCCAACAATAGACTCTTCTTTCACTTTTCTCTTCCAATCTATAGAAATCATGTGTTTAAAAGTAAACATTACACCGAGTCAGCCTGATACAGTAGAAAGCACCCAGAATTTCAAGTCAGAAGATACAAGTTTAAGTACGGGCTGTATTTCAGCCCACTGTGTGATCGTGGACCAGCCGCTTCTCCTTTCTGAGCCTCGGTGTCCTTCTCTGTAGAAAGGGGATAAAGGTTCCTGCCTCATAAGGTTTATTATTATTTTTGCTAGTAGTATTAGTAGACGAATAATAGTAAATATACAGGGTCTGACACAGTAACATCCCCTGTTTATTACAAAACCTTTTACTACAAAATCATAACCATGTAATTCTGTAACATAACAATAGCACACTGAAGCACACCATATGACATTTCAGGTGAAATGTTCAAATTAAAACTGTAAATCATTACACCCATATTATTGCCCGACCAACCACACTGAAGCAGGCGTCACTTCTGCCGGACCCTGTATATTGCTAGATTACTAATCTTTATGGAGGTTTTTACAGTTTGCAAAGCACTTTTATGCCATAATTTAT